AAGCTAAAAGGGAAAATATTTTATAAAATGACTTTCTAACTCATTGGGCATCACCTAAAATCTGGATTTTTGGCACACTTTGCATACAATGAAATGGTAATATTTTTCATTTATCTTGAAGATAGTCAAATTATAATTTGACTCATGCATCACCCAGCATAAAAGAGTAATCTTTGTAAACTACGGAGACTTGTGTTTTTCTGTATTTTTGGAGGGCACAGAAACATTATTAGAGTGAAGATTGTATGCTTTTGATCTTAATTTTAGAATAATGTTCTTTCAATGTTTTATTAAGTAGTTAATAAAATGTATGTAAAATGATATGATGAACCCTCATATATCTACCATTTATGAAAATAGAGCATTATCAATATCTGTAAATTCCCCTATATGTCCCTTCTCCTCCCCTCCCTTCCCCTTCCTTTCCCTCAGAGCTTCTAATCCAGATTTTGTGTTTATAACATTCAGGCTCTTATTAGTAGTTTAACCATGTGTTTATCTTCCTAGACAATATATTATTTGACAATTTTTGTAATTTTTACAAATGGAATCATATTGTATGCCATCTTCTGTGATTTGTTGTTTACCCTACAACACTATGTTCCTGAGATTCATCCATGATATTGCATGGCTATAATTCATTCATTTTAACTGCTGTATACATTTCCATTGAATGATGACACAAAAAATTAATTTTACTGTTGATATATTTAGGTTGATCCCCATTTCATCTGCTATTAAAAGTGTTACGAACATTTCTGTACGTATGTCCTGGTAACAATGTTTAAGAATTTTTCTAGGATATTACTTAGGAAGTGCTGGCTGTGAGGCATGCACAACTTCAAATTTTAGTACTTGATGTCAAACTGTTTTCCAAAGTGGTTGTGCTAATTTACACTACCAAACAGTGTAGAGGTGTTCTCCCGTTGCTCCATGCTCTTGCCAACACTTTTATTGTGGTATCTTAAAATTTTTGTCAATTGTATGCATGACATGGCATCTTTGTGGTTTTCATTCCTGTGTTCCTGATTATCGGTGAGTTTAGAATCTTTTCATATGCTTGGGTTTCCTTATCTGTGAAGTACCTACAGAAGCCTTTGGCTCTTTCTTCCATTGCACTCTTTCGTAAGGGTTTTTCACCTAGTTTAGATCGGTGGTTCTCAACTGGAAGAGAATTTGCTATTTAAGAAACATTTAGCAATGTCTGGAGACATTTTTGATGGTTATGGGTGGGTAGTGGAGAGCTACTGGCATCTAGTAGTGAGGCCAGAGATGATACTAAACATCCTACAATGCGCAGGACAGCCTCCAAAACAAGGGATTATCTGCCCCGGTATGGTACCAGTGCCAAAGTTTGGAAATTTTGTTCTAGATACTAAAATGTTACCAGTTACACATATGTGTTGCAAATATTTTCTCCCAGTTTGTGGATATTTTCATTTTTTTTAATGGTACCTGTTGATAAAGAGATATTCTTTTTTTTTTTTAAAGATTTTATTTATTTATTTGACAGAGACACAGTGAGAGAGGGAACACAAGCAGGGGGAGTGGGAGAGGGAGAAGCAGGCTTCCCGCGGAGCAGGGAGCCGGATGTGGGGCTCAATCCCAGGACCCTGGGACCATGACCTGAGCCGAAGGCAGACGCTTAACGACTGAGCCACCCAGGTGCCCCGATGAAGAGAAATTCTTAATTTTAACATAATTGAAGTTATCGATCTTTTCTTCTATGGAGTGTAGTTTTTGCATCTGATTTAAGAAAGTACGCTTGTCCTCAAAATATATTCTCCAATTGTTTTAAAATTTTTCAATTTTGTTTTACATTCAAGTCTTTAATCCACCTAAAACTGATTTCTATTTATGATGTAAGAGTCCAAAATTAATTTTTTATATGGAAAACTAGCTGTCTGAGCACCATTTGTTAAAAATGTGTCCTATGCCCACTGGTCTACAATGCTGTCAAAAATCAAGTTTGAAGAAATGGGCTTATTTCTGGTTCTCTATTTTATTATCACCTTTCAATCTGGAGGCTAAAGTTATTTTCACCTTCTTATAAAAGGAAAACTGACTCCCACGAGTTAAAGGTTTTTATGAATTCTGAAGAAAACAGATTTTAAGAGGGTTTGTTGTTGTTGTTGTTTTAATATTTGTTTAGATTTTCCCGAGAAACAAAAAGAAGGGGACGGGAGGTTGTTATTTTGAATACCAAGGCCAAATACCTCTAAAATGGAAATGAACTCACTCACTTTAGTGAAAGTTGTTTTGATTCCCCACAAACTACATTTGCCTACAGTATACATTTCAGGAAGGCTAGAAATGCATTTACTTTTCAAGTAGCCAAAGGGAACCTTTTCTGAAACACTTTATTAACACCTATAATTTAACCTTGTATATCATCTAATTCTTTAATCTAGGGGTTATAACAGAAATATCCATATTCTTTCCTAAATAGTGAGAAAGGCCATTTTCCTACTACTAAGAAGCTGGCCCTTATATAAGGACATTTCTGACTCCATCATTCCTGGAAAGGAATCCATAGCTCAAAGAACAGTCATACCTGTCCATTAGCCTCAGCCTTCAGCTTTCAGATCCAGAAGCTCCAAAGCCAGTGGCAAGCACTAGTTACAGAGTGAGGCAGAGAACAGAAGTATACATATCCTTCTTTGCCCTTTATTCTCTTCCTAACGCTTTCTCTTCATTGTCATTTATCCCACACAAGCTCCACACAAGTATTCAATAACACTGAAATGGGATCAGTTTACTGTAATACAAACTATATTTTGGGTGTGAGTAAATCAGAAGCAAAAATATAAATTCATTGACTCAGAAAAAGAAACTTAGCATGGGGACAAAAAGTTTCCAGAAAAAGAAAAAAAAATTCAATTTCTTCATCAGGAAAATACTCTGAAAACTATTCCCTTTTTAAATATGTCAATTACTTGCTATTACTCCTTATTAATATTATTTATTTTCCTGAACACTCTTGAAATGATTATCAGCTAATAATGTAATTATTCTGGAACCTTCATGTATGGGTTTTAAGGAGGAATAAGAAGGGATTTTCTTTGGCGACAGCACATGTTCCATGATGTCCACTTTTGATACTTGATCACCATGAAACTTGCCAACTGATGGCCAAGCACTGACGTAGATTGTTCATGAAATACTCTGGTTGGACAGGGTGTTTCTAGCTGATTACCGTGTCCAAGATCAGGTGGTAGTTAAACTCAAGGAAGCTAAGAGGATTTATGAGATCTAGAGCCCTCAAACTGATTTTATCAAATTTATTAGATCTGGAGTTCTGTTTAGAACCACATAGCAGAAAGAGGCTTAATCAAAATTCAGGTGCCTATATTTATCAAACGGCCTGTTGCAGAAATATGGGTATAAGTAGTCTCTGGTGGCCTTTTAAGGAAATTTTCACAAGTAAGTTACAGGTTTCCACCCCATTTACTCACATTAAATAAGCACTTTCCTGAAATGAATGTGCAAAGACAAACAAGAGTGGCCCGAGACACGGTAAAGACACACAGAAATAGAACTTTCTAGTAATTTAGAAGTATGCAACGCTGTAAATAAGCCAGACTGAGAAATCAACTTGTTTTGCAATGACCCCTGAATTGAAGCCATGAGCACAGCTTTTGACTACTCAAAAAAAAAAAAAAAAGAGGCAAAGACATAAACATAAAAGTCCTGCAACCATCAGACACACATACAGTCAACCTGTTGAATGTGGAAGATTCTGATCACTCTGCCGGTTTACCGGCCAGGAAAAAGGCACCTCTGTGTCTCCAGGTAGGAAAGAAGTAGCAGGAGTCATGGCCCAGGCTCCGGAGAGTGGCCACGTCTCCCCCCCAGGGGAGCTGCACCTGCGCTGTACCTGTTTCCTCGTGCCACAAGCTGTGCTCACACGCAGACTAGAAAGCCCTGCAGGTGAAACATCACAATCACACGGACAACAATGCCAGGAGCACAGGAAAGGCCACCCTCCATATCAAATTCACACCCAAGGTGCTGCCAGGGACCCTGGACCAGGAAAATGGTATAACCCTACCCCTAAACAGGCTCCTCCACACCCAGCCTCCACATACATTGGGGACAAAGGGTGCCAACTGGATTGTCGTGATACATGTGAATAAATGTGAAACATGGTTAGTAGCTAAAATTTCCACCAAATTGTTGAAAATACAATTTCAGATGTGGTGGGGGGCGGTCATCTTAGCTCTTAACACGCCGTCATAGCATCTGGCTCAAACTTAACGAAGTAGGACAGAACTGTGGTTGGAACCGCAGAAAACCGAAAATGGGACAACTCGGCAATTGTTGCTCCCCGTGCCCGGGGGTGTTCGGGTACCACGCTGGGCATCCCTGCTTAGAGGTCTGGTCCGTCTGGTTAAAGACCGCAGCGCTCAGCCTCCGCCTGTCCTTGAAGACCGCAGTAGTCCTTCCTGTCCCCGGACTTCCAAGCGGCTGCGCGGCCAGGTGGGAAACCTTACAGTGCAAGGTCCCCCAGACAGGTTCCCAGGTGGAGAGCAGTTTTAGCTCTTCTGCGGGCTGGCTTGAGGCGGCAGCGAGTCCCACAGATGAGTGGGTTCTGAGGGCAGAGCGCCGAGAAGCGGACTTGGGGGAGCAGCTTCCGCGCTTCCCAGGACCATTTCCTGGGCGCCAACAGCTCGGAACGCAAACGCCCGGGGGCGGCGCCACTGACCGTTAGCCGTGGGCGGGGCCTGGGGTCACGTGACCCGCGCCGGTTCAGAGCCCGGCGTGGGCGGGAGCACGCAGAGCCTCTCGGCCCTCGGCCGCGCGCCTTGCGTGCGCGCGCAGGCCGGGGGCGGGGCGTGTGGGCTGAGCCTCCGGCGCGCTCTGGGGCGGAGGCGGGGCCCGAACGGGGCGGAGGGCGGGGCGGGGCCTCCTCCTCCTCCTCCTCCTTTTTCTCCTCCTCCGCCTCCGCCTCCTCCTCCCTCTGCTAGGCTGGGCTGGCGGCGGCGGCGGGAGCCGGATGATCCGCCGAGGGGCGCCTCGGCCATGACTGCGGAGCTGCAACAGGACGACGCGGCCGGAGCAGCCGACCGACACGGCTCGGTGGGCCCCGCGGCGGCGAGCGGGGGCCGGGGGTGGCTCGGGGTCCCGGGAGGGGAGGGGGCTGCGGGGCGCGGGCCGGAGCGGCGCGGGGCCCGGGCGGGCCTGCGGGGCTGCGGGGCGTGGAGCTGGAGGGGGCTGCGGAGGGCGCCGGGGCTGGCTGGGCGGGGGCGAGGGCGGTGGGCCTGGGAGGGGGCTGAGGTCTTTGCAAGGCTCGGATCCCGGGCGAGCTAAAGTTCGGGGGGAGTAGGTATTTTGGAGAGCCAGCTATAAAGGGCAGGACGTGGGGTGGTGTGCATCAGGGATCTTTATGGGGAGCGGTCTTGGGCCCTGACCTGGGTGAGAAACTTCCAAAGAGGGCAGCTTAGGTGGGTTTTGTGGTTTTTAGTTTTAAGTCCCTTTTATGGCAGTACTGTTTTAAAGTGTCTAAAGCAGACCGAACTTACCTGACTTAAAGCCGGGATTGATCAACACCTTGTGAAAGACCAGGGGTCCTGTTTACCACTCCCTACCTTCCCTTACCCCATCACCCCCGCTTCTTTTTTCTTTTCTTTCTTTCTTTTTTAAATAAACTGCGAGCAGCCTGCCCGGTGTATTCATCAGTAGATTTTTAAGGAGGGAGGAGGAACAGCGCGATGAATAGAAGGTATTCTTATAAATGCCTTCCTGTTCCTATTATCTAAGAAGATTGAAATCAGTACAAGGATTTCTGGGCTAAGTTGGTGAGAGTGAAACACTGGTTTGGGAGAAAATCAAAGGCTGATAATGCCGTGTGTAGAAACTTGGTAAGTGGGCAATTTGAGAATGTCTTCTAATGTTACTTTGGAAAGTTATAACTTAACACCACCTCCTCACCCCTCAACTGCCGTGCTTTTTCGAGACCGATTGGGAGACCTGTGCCAAGTATTCCAGTGAGAGTCTGGAAATGAGGAATTTCATAAAAATATTTATCATACAAAGCTGTCAGATACCTCCACGTGGGAAACCTTTTGTGCCTGTTTATTCTTTTCCTGCTCACAGGAGACCCGTGGTATATAGTGAACACATTTCCTTTTTAATCTCCTCCAGGTCCTGGGCTCCAAAATGAAAGTAACATGGATGGTACTTCACGTGCCTCTGATTTCTAATGGAGATGCTGTTGTTAGGTGTTCACAAATACCTATCGGAATCTGAGTCAGGATTTTCTCTGGTTTCACGGTCATTTCTATTTGTTTTTAGGACAGTGACTTCAAAACAGGTGGGAAAAATCTGAGTTTTGAGATAGTTGTGTTGATTTAGAGAAGAGGCTATTTTAAGGGAGAGTAGGTCATATTTAAATTTGTTCGGGGACCATGTGCCTGTTCATCAACAGCATCTTGGTTTACCTCTGCCACAGTTTGAGTAGTGACCACTCTCTCAGCACTCTGAGGGTTTGTATGTGAGGTGTTTGATGAGCACTTGTATGTAAGTCATAGCTATTTTGGGAAAACTTGGAACTCGGTTGGCTGTGGCTGGCTGGAGTACCCTGACTCCTGGCCACCTGCAGAGTGATGACATTCACTGTTCTTCCCAGTGATTCGCCCCATACAGGCAGCCGATAAGCTTGGAATGCTTGATAATGTTTGCCCCTTTTGTTTTTGCTAAGGAAAATGCTTGAAATTAGCAAGCTAGGTTGAAGGAATTTTATCTAGGGAAAGTACGTTTCACATCACAGAGGAAAGATTTTAATAACTTCCTCATCTTGATGAGTTTCATGTTAGAACGGACTCTATTTTAGATTCTCTGAAGCACTCTGCATTTCCCTTAAAGGGTCTTTAATTGTTCTGGTTGAGAAGAGCTATCCTCCCCTGACACTCAGAAGCTATTTAAAACCTAGAATGCTGCCCTTCCCTTATTGGTCAGTTGTGCACGGGACAGACAGAACCCTTTATAGCCTCCCAAGAATTTTAGTGAGAAAAATGCAGCACCCTTGGAATATGTTCTCAGGATGTCCTAGAGTCTGAAAGAAGGTACTTTGTGATATCGCTAAACACCCCACACTGCAGACAGATAATTCGAACATCTACAGAGATTTTTACAGACAGGTTTCTGTGTTTTAATCAGCTCTTGACTTAGATAAAAACCAGCAGCAACATTTACTGTTACTGTAGGATAAACAACTTGAAGTCAGGTTGGTTCTTACAAACCTGTCATCCTTGGCAGCTGCCTGAGGATTCATCACATGTTCCTGACGCTAACTGGAGCCCTATGAGAACCTGCCAGTTTCAGTGAAAATTTAATGTCCTTTTTGCTTTCTCTTGATTTATTGGCTTTTCATTTGCGTTTATCTTGTCTCGTTAGTTGTGATTTTTGGAACATCAGCCAGTCAGTGCTTGGTTGGCTCTCACAACTTTAATGCCTCTTCAGCTGCAAACAGTTTCTGCTCACACAATGAGTACAATATTTGTAAAAAGCAGTGACAAGTAACGCCTCTCCAGGCAAGATCTTTCCATGTGTTATATTTCATCGAAGAAATGTAAGCAGGAGCCAAGTGAAGCAGATGTTTTTTAAGGAAAATAATGATGCTGGTAATAGTAGGAGCTAACGTTAATTGAGCATGGAGTATATGCCAGACCCTGTGCTCAGAACGTAACCTGTGTTATCTCAGGACTTACAACAACTCCATGAAGTTTTCACATAGGAAGGCTTATATTTGCTAAACAATTTGCCCAAGATGACCCACCTAGTAAATGGTACAGCTAGGATTGAACCCAAGCTATTCCGAGTCTAAGAGCCCAAGATAGCCTTGATCCTACTTCTTAGTCAGTGGACCCATTGTCTTAGGTCAGAAACTTTCTTTGACCCTCCAGAACTCTCCTGATGTTTTAAACTCAGTCCTCCCTGCATTCTTTCTAAATACATAGTTTCTTTTCTACTTGGCTGAGCCTGCTGCCATCAAGAGATGGGGTGGTTTTTGTTTTTGTGAGGAGATGTCTTATGTTTTTTCCTTTTGTTTTTCCTCTTAATTATCTCTTTCTCTCGGTGTAAGAGGCACCACCCTTCCCTTCTTCCTTTATTTCTTAGAGATGACTCTAGATCCGTGGTGTCTGGAGAGCTTTTGGATCGTGATTGCTGGAGGAGGATGTACTGGCCTCAGTGGGTGGAAGCCAGGAATGCTGTACAGGATAGGCCCCCAAAACAGTTATCTGGCCCCAAATGTCAATAGTGCTGAGCTCGAGAAACCCTGAGCTAAGTGATGTCTCTCCTCGCTCGTCTCAATTATCTCGCATTTCCTTTATTCTGGCCTAAGCCCCAGACACCTTCATTGTCTTCTGTTCTCTTGAGACTCAAAATATGGTCCATGGACCAGCAGCATCTTCATCACCCAGGAGCTGTTGGAAATGTAGAGATTTGGGTGTGCTAGAGCCAGCTTGTATTGCCTTTCCAGCTGAATGTGGCATCTCTTCCCAACTCTGTGTCCAGTGACCTCATGTTGGTAGCTTGAAATCATCATGGTGGGAGTATTTATACCAAAGAACTAAACAGGCTCCACAAATCAACGCACCACGGTTTGGGCCTCCACCCTGGACCTGTTGAATCGCAGCTTGCCTTTGGATAACATCCCTGGGCGATGCCTTTGAGAAACTCTGACCTACTGCGCAGAATTCCCACTTTCCCTTTAGCTATGCACAGGTGTCCCCAGTCCTCCAACAAAACAAAAACAACATCGACTTCTGCCCTGCCCAGCTGTTGACCTCACCCAGCACCTTCCTTTTGTTTATTTTTTGACCAGAATTTTCTAAATCCATCTGTTTCTTTTCTTAAGTGTTTTCTCAATTATATTTTAATTTCAACTCACTGTGGAAAACTTGGGAAACAGAGACCCTTGCAAGATTTGCTCTTGGCTGATAGGAGGCACAGCCCCCAGACTGAGGCAGATCGGTTCCCAGGTTGCCCCGCAGAGCTTACGGCAGCAGCCTCAGGGCAAGAACCTGGTTAGGAGATGGTGTGGGGGACCAGTGTAGGCACCAGCTAGTAGAGGGCTGATTGCCCGGAGGCATGCAGAGAGGCTGACCAGCCAGCAGAAGGTTAGATTGTAGGGCAGTGACTGTATGTGGTCAGCATTTCCCGGGCCACCCGATGAGAGCCTTGCCAATAGTAGGCTTTCAGTATTTGTCTCTTGAGAATGAAACTGATCTCTTGGAGGTGACCAGGGACTAACCACCTTCTGGTGAAATCTGTGGCCTTACAGAGGCCCCAGATACTCAAGCCCCAGTTTCATGCTTTTGTATGTGATGATTCCTCATCGCCCGTTTGGTTGATGTTTATCTTGGCATTTGACTTTATTCCTACTTACTTTCAATTGTTCTGCTTTTTCTTAAAAACTAAAAACAAAACAATAAAACCAAAAACTTTCCAAAAACTTGCCTAAAAACAAATCGTTTGCCACACAGTCTTATCATAGACAAAAGTACCGTAGTTGGCCCTCACTTCCGAATTGGCTACATTATTTTACAACTTTCTTAGGAAAATTAGCCCTGGAAAAGATGTTTGAGTTTCTCCTCCTCAGCTTGCAACTTGAGGGTATAGGAGTTCTTACACAGTGACCTGTTAGTACCCTCACTGTACAGCTGCCTTACTTCCTGAACTCTCTCCCTTGGACATTTGGGACCTGTATTATTCTGGTTCTTCTGCCTTTCTTTTCATTTAGGGGCTAACCTGTTAGCTTTCTTGGCTGTTATGTTCCTTTTACTAACTTCTTCCAAATCTGCATCTGGAATCCCGACTTGCAAATGACTTCTCCTCTATTTGCAAATGCTGGTTAAACAGTGGTACTTGCATATCCGCATCCTTGGCTCTAACCAGGTGCTGCATAGTGACTTTTGCCACAGGCCTGGGAATATCTACCTGTAATAATGGTATCTGCCATGTGCCAGGTATGGCCCGAAGCACTTTTCTGTGCATTCTGTATATTTACAAAAATTCTGCAAAGTATGAATTATTATGTCTTATGACTGATGAGGACACTCAGACTCAGCTCTAAT